TGTATTTCTTACTTCCGACACACTTATTAAATGTACATGTGCCTATCTTCTCCTCGATTTGAAATTCCTGTTTATATTTTGTGGCATAAACATTATGAAGGATATCATTGTGCAATTTTCTCCATCCTCTTGTTATTTCATCTCTCTTTTGACGAAATCTTGTCCTCGCCATCCTGAACGGTAGCACCTCGAATCTGAACAACTAGTATCTGCTCAGCTAGTCAGTAAATTCCTCGCCTTCTATGGAACCCAGAATTCGGTGCCGTGTCTAAAACAGCTGTAAAAAACTGTAAATTAATCTGTTGTGCGTTTTAAGTTTAGGTTTCTAAATGTGGCACAGAAATATTAAGTGTTCTGAAACAAAAAGTTAGAATTTGCACTTGCTTACAGGGTAAATATGAAAGATTTGTTGTGTATTGACGTTGCAGTAATTTGTAATAGTTTGATGCCCCACGACTTTCATGCAGTATGTGTGTGAGATTCTAAATTTGTTAAACTCCGTGGCTTGTAGTTCTCAAGCGAACTATAGCAACCGAGCGACCGCCGCTTGTCGGCGAAGTCAGTGCCAACTTTTGCGGGTAGAGGGTGTCACGTGGTCTGCGCAACAAATCCCCACGGCCCTTAATTTCGGTTTTCTTTACCGGAGCCGCTATTTGCTTGAAATAGCTCCTGAATTATCCTCACGAGGCTGAGTAGACGCCATTCCAGACACACTACTTCTAAGAAAATCTGGTGTCACCGGGAATCGAACCCGGGACCTCTGGACCTGTAGTCAGGAACTCTGACCACTACACCATAGAGGCGGTCTCCTAAATTTTTTAATACGTATAGAAATAAATGTGTAATTCATATAATTATCATCATAACGCATCGACAGTCTGTATAGACTCTATCTTATACTATATACTAAGTACCGCATGTTCTTACCAGCATCGCACCATGAAGACGTAGGGGGAATGGAGGAAAATCTCTACATATTCAATTCTAATATCCAGAAGGGCCTTTTGCGCTGTAATAGAAAATTCCGTTTATATTCATTCAACAGAATTCCTAGACCTCGTCTCTTTAAAATTAAAGGTTGCATTACATCACAGACGATGCAGCCAGACCACTCTTGAGAGACAGCAGTGATGAACTCGAGGATGAATAGCAATGTGTCCTCCGTCATCATCAACAGTGATACTCCATCGCAAGCAGCATGCAACCAACTTTCTTCTACGCGTTGTGGTCGCACGACACTCATGCCGTAATTAGTCTCCCTGACTGTACAAACACATTAGTCATCAGCCATTGAACAGCAATATGGAAAACCACTGTTCGTATATTATTTCTTGTTGGAATTATCCAGCAGATGGCAGAGCTGTGTATTCCAAGCCATTGACATGTTACCTTTATAAGGAAGCTAGCGAAAGCTCGGTTCGTTCTTCCGATTTTATTAAAATAAACTGTACGAAAATAATGAAATTGCTTCCTTAAGGTTACAGTTTTAAGTTGTCATTCTTGTATATAAATATTCCATTATTTGTAGATGTATTGTCATTTAGTAATCGTTTTCTCTATTAAAGTGTTGCATGCAAAGTAGCAGAGGTGAACATAAACCGCTTTTGCACCTTAAAGTCGTTATGGTCTCCTAACTATGTTGAGACGATGAAACTCTCATACCGGACGATGTGATTTTGTATACATGCTTATGGTATAAATAAGGCATGATAATTTGACAAAAACGCACAAGTTTAACGCATGCGTTTAATAAATTACAATAGGACATTACGAAGTATACGTAGTAAGACATAAGCAATGGGTAACAAACACTGAATACGGTAAAATATTTTGGAAAACCTGCTACTGAAATCAAAAGAGAAGTGCACGTTGTCGGTTCTAATGATTAAAAATAGCTTATTTCCATATGTTGTTGCAGAGTGTCACATCCAGCTTTAGGGATATCCATAGGTGAACATTCAGAAAGCCTTGAAATAGCTACTTCATTGCGAATATTCTACTAAAATGGTACAAATAGAATCCGTAGCAATGTTCCCAAAACTAATTAAGTTTAATTACTCAAAATATGGAATGCTTTATTTAAATTATATTCCCAAAAGCTACCAAGAAAGGGAACAAAAGACATTAACTAAATCCTGTTTTATAATCGGTATAGAAACAGCTACACGAATGACATTAGGACCCATATCTAACATATAGATATACAGAGAAGTAGAAAAACTCCCACTGAGTAGCGGTGAAGCGAAAACTTTCCTTGTGATGTCTTCTCGTGGCTTCAACACGTCCCTCTGGGCACAAGAGCTCCCCATTTGGGAACATGATGTGCTGATATTCCACCTTTCGAAGGCACATTGCATGGAGGTGATACACACGCGCGAAGCTCTGCTATCCCGTCTTGATACCAATCTCTGTAACAACAAAAGTGATGGGTGTACAGACAAGATAGCAGCAGCAGCAGGAAGTAACGAAAAGTGTTACACGGAGACTGGCAGTGCGTGGTGCAATCTTGCCGCTTCGCTAGCTACCGGACGAGCAACAGCCTTGGAAGGACGTCGGAATTTCAGGACGAGGAGGTGTGAAGCTGCTCGCAGGCAGGTTTCATTCTACATGGGATGAAATATGATGCAACAGAGGAGTTGTAGTAATAAATATGGCATATTTTACATGTATAGGTGCATATAATAAATGAAAATAACAACTCTATGTATAAATCCTATCGATTTGTTTCATGTAAAATGAGAGGCCAGATTCTTAACCACGAAAAATTGTAACGTAGAGCGATGTGTGAACGTCGCGACGCTTGTGCAACAGTGTCTCAGACTGGTGTGTCAGACTGTTAGTTTTGTAAAAGTTGTCTGCTGAAGAGTCACAGTAATAAGCATCATTTTAATAACATTGTTTATTATTATTATTATTGTTATTGCTACTGATAATAAAATATTAATTGTGCAAAATGTGAATGTGTTGTTGATCTTTTCTCGCCGCACAATGGCTGGCGCGACTGAATTTCTTGAACTTTTATTACTGTCCAAGCTGCCCTAGCTTTATTTGTCTTTGTGTGTGTATATATGTATGTGTTTGATTCCATCTTTGCTGGCGCAAAGATTGTGTAAACGCATGAATAAATAAAGAAACCGGATTGAATATATATATGATGGACAGTCAAATGAAAACGGATCAGAAGCCAAACCATATAAGGAACATTTCTTACTTCAAAAGTAATCTCCAAAACTGTTAATACATTTATCCCACGGGGAGATATGAATGTATGAGGGGTAGGCCTTCTCGGCCCTTGCACCGCGACCTACAGTGGTCTATTGTGCTTCCACTGGGAGATAAGACCGTCAATCCCATCCTTGAAACAGCTTGTGGGCTGTCTACGGAACCAAGATCTTTACAAAGCCACACACGTCTTCGTCCGATGCAAACCGATGTCCACGAATGTCTCTCTTCAGGTCTCCAAAAATGTGAAAATCACATGGGGAGAGATCTGGGCTGTAGGGGGGATGTTGAAGCACTTCCCAACCAAATCTGTATATAGTATTCCTCACAGAGTTGACAGTGTGGAGGGGGGGGGGCGCATTATCATGAAAATGTAATGCCGTTCGATAGCATTCCAGGGCGTTTTGACTTTATGACACGTCTCAGTTTCTGCAAAGTGTCTTCATAGCGCTGTGCACTGATTGTGGCCCATGCTCGAGAAATTCGACAAGCAGAGTGCACTTGCAGTCGAAGAAGAACGTCATCATCACTTTACCGGAACTTGTGTGTACGGCTTTGGATTTCTTCGGTGGTGGAGAATTCACGTGTTTCCGCTGTTGGCTCTGCCGTTTGCTCATGGGTTCAAAATGGTGGCACGAAGTTTCGTCCTCAGTGGCAATACGGGACAGAAAAGCATACTCTTCCTCGTGGTATCTTTGCAAGTAACCCATGATGCAGTCATTCTCTGAGTCTTCTGTTCCTCCATGAGTTGATGTGGAACCCACTGCGCGCAGATTTTGCGGTACAGCAGGTGTTTTGTCACAATGGCGTGTACGGAACCGTGACTTATTCCCATCAATAGACTAATTTCTTCCACAGTGATCCGTCGGTTTGCCCGGATATGACCATCCAACGCAGCAATAACATCAGGAGTTATGACACGATGAGCCTGTCCTGGGCAAGGATCATCTTGCAGTGACACACGTCCCTCTCGGAATCTCTTATGCCACGCCAGCACACGCGAACGTGACATGTTGTGTTCGCCGTAAACAACAGACATGCAACGATGGATTTCTCGTCCCCCTACTCCTTCTGCAGTCAAAAAGCGCACTACACTTCGCTGTTCTTTACCCGCCTCCATTACTGATGTTGGACGACCACACGTAGCGCTAGCCTTACTTCAAGCACAATAAACAAACGACTAGTGTGCAAGGGCACGTTGTCACTATGCTTTCCCGAGTCTCCACCAGATGTTCGTACTGTAAGCAAATTCCAAAGTCACCAACTTGGGCGCTGTGTGAAATAATAATAATATTTATTATTATTATTATTATTGAAAATAATGTAAAGCTATCCCTGTAACATTACGTGAAGGGACATATGATTTTGAGACGTTAAGGCTCCCATATTTTTTCTAGACAATCGCCTCACAGATGGCGGTGAGGTTGTCAGCCTTACATACCGGCCGCCCTTTACCCCAGGAAGATTCCTGGTATTCATTTCTGTTAGAGGCTGAGTCGAACCCAGACCCATAGTGCGGCTGGAAGGATTAGATGAATTGAATAAGTCCATCTCACCTGGACTCGAACCCGCGAGATATTAATAATAATAATAATAATAATAATTATTATCATTATTATTTTGGTGTTGTTTCTTCTTACTAATGCTAAGTTTCTACTTGGCCTCTGGACTGTTAAGTAAGAATGTTATTGTTATTATTGTTATTATATTGTTATCATACAATGTGAATGATTGGAGATAGATTCTCTGTAGGCATGGGGATTTTCTCTTCACCACAGGGACCAGACCGACTGTGGGGCTCACGCAGCCGCCCATCCAGTGGACGGTGGGGACAGAGCGGCCGATATGTTCCGGTTTGTGAAGGGTAAGGAAAGCGAATTTGACCATACACTTTAACCAGGTACTGATAAGAATACGTGGCACTGTAAATTCACTCTTACTTTTGCCCTCATAGCGTGATGCTATATCAATTCCATGGACATCTGTAGGGCTTACATTTATTTATTTATTTATTTATTTATTTACATACCCCATTACTATTTCAAATGTGTCGAAGCAACGTGAATATATTTCGACCTAATGAATATGAAGTGAGAAGTTTTGGATCTTACGTAATGGAGATATATACAGGTATACAGATCACCCACAATTGTGATAGTGATATCAAGGAAGACACAATTGGTTATTCATGCGAATAGTATGAAGAAACGATGAATGCATACAGAATTTTCACATGGAAAGCTGCTGGGCAACGTCCATTCAGAAGAACGAGAAGGAGAAAGAAATTATGGTTGAAATTTGTCTAAGGAAACTAAATTCGCTTAGTGGGGGGTGGAGTCCAACTGGGTCCATTCGGCACGGCGGCCACTGATCGGCCTATTGTACCTGCCCCGGGTGATTATGATGATGGACAATTTGGTGGAATGAAGATTGGTAGTGGAAAACGAAGTACTTGGAGAAAACCCGCCCCAGCGCCACTTTGTCCACCACAAATCCCACTTGACCAGACTCGGGATCGAACTCGGGCCGCCGCGGTGGGAAGCCGGCGACTAACCGCTTGAGCTATGGCGCGGCCTCTAAGGGAACTAGATTGTAGGGTGAAACTGGCTCAGGATTTTTTCCAAAAGTAGGCTACAATTTTTACTGAGTTGGGCATTGAATATATTGCGGCGTGTAGACCTGTTGCTGGGCAACGACCGCAAAATAAGCAAATATGCAACAGCTGTTATTAAGTTGTAAACAAACGTGTTCCCACGACAACAGTTTTATACAGCAACAGAGGAATGGGGTTTTCTGTGCGGTTCGTGCCGAGATGTTATAAGCAGGACTGGTTGAAGTGAAATCACTTGATCTGAGTTGAATTGAGTTGACTGCTACGGTTCAGTTGATGTGAGCTGCTGCTGTAAGAAGCAGGAAGCTGAGGCCGTGGATTGTTTGGGAACCCAGAGGAAGGGGGACTTCCGCCTTTGGAAGCCGCTACCGAGCAATGGCTAGTGAAGTCTTGATTGTTGACATTAGTGTGTGTGTGTGTGTGTGTGAGCAGAAGTGAACTGTAAAGTGCGGTCACACGCAGCCCGATCATCAATCCAAAACGCGTCTCTAGTCACTACGAACACGTAGAGTAGAGGAGTAGAGAGACACGAGAAAAGTACATGGAAATGATTTTGTTATCTACTTTATCAAAGACTTACGCAAATGTTTTTCGAAATATACTGAATAGGATTATACAACATGCAAGAGGAACAATCTGGGCTGTGTAAAGAAGCAAGTTGTACAGACCCAGTAGTTACAACACAACGGATTATTGAAAAGGGAAAACATTTAACCTATCAACATATACATTTTTTTTATTTCTGGATTATAAACACGTTTATGAAATTTCATCCGACCAACATTACCGGAATTTAAAAAAAATTATGGAATGCCTTTTAATCGGAAGAATGCAATCAGGGCTTTGTATAAAAACACAAACATTCAAATAATCGGTTCTATATTCTGAAATACAACTACACCACAAGAGGAGTTAAGCAAGGATGTCTTTAACCCATCTTTACTTTGTATTACAAAAAGTGAGTGGAAGCCAGGGTATAAAGTTAAAAGTACACAACACACAGCTTTTCCGATCTTGCTATATGCTGATGGTCTAACGCTCTTAAGTGAAACCGAGAACGGCCTATAGCGAGCTCTGACTAAAGCATAATTACTGGTATCTCAATTAATTAGAGGAAATCCATGGCAGTGACATGGAAAAAGTTTTTGCAGTCAGATATTGTATCGGAAGGTGAAATTATCGAGCAGGCACAAAGTTTAAAATATTTTGTAAACACGGTATCTAATGTAAGCTAAAGGGATAAGTATAAATTATTTATTTAAATATGGGTAATTTAACGACGCGTCCAATAGGTAGAATACAGCGTCGAATGGGGGGATGGTAAATGAATGATAATTTGGAAGGGATTTGGAACGAAGCAGCAGTGGTCTAAATGAGATATTTTCCTGGACAGGACTGAGAAAAATTACAAAATATCTCCATCGAGATAGCCTGTGACCCGGCCGAGATTCGAACCGAGCACTTCACAAATACGGGTTAAGAACGTTACTGCTGCGCTAAGCCGTTTTGTGACGTGGATAATAAAATCAATAAATTTATGATGGACGGAAGTATAAGATGATATTTCGGAGATAAAATGTCTCAAATTACATAACTCCGGCTTCACTAAATCAAAGTAAATCCCACGCTATTGTTGAATCTGAAACACAATTTCTTTTTTTTGGGGGGGGGGGGNAACGACATATCTTTTTTTTGGGGGGGGGAGGGGAAGAAAATGTTGAAAGTTTAACAAATGAAATTAACAAATTTCTCAGAGTACTGGCGGGTTTTCGAAGAAGGGGTCATATTAGGAATGATATTGTGAACCCAGCGTTGTGTAAGATATCGAAGGATATACTCGTGGATAAACATGGAGGGACTGCTTATGGAGAACGAATAACAAGACTTCCTAAGGCATCACCTTACTAAAAACTTAAAGGGACAAGATATTGTGACAAATATGACCATTTGCCTAGTAAATGAACTTCCGTCTCAGTTCGTTGCTATTCCCGCTTTTAGGCGGTGTTCACCTAGCCGTTGCTAAGCAATGGATTATTCCGTCACATTATATTGGAAGATCGGAGCTGAGGCGGTTGGAGCAAATGTAGTTTTAGAACGGATCCTAGAGCCCTCATGCTTGCTTGTATAAAGTGGTAGAAGAAATATTTCCTCTTTTCTCGTAATGTTGGTAAATATGTTGTAGTTGTGAAGAGGTACAAATTAAGCCCGCATACACGCTCTGTATGGGGCTGAAACATGGACACTTAGGGCAGTAGATCAGAAACATCTGGAAAGTTTCGAAATGTGGTGTTGGAGAAGAATGGAGAAGATTAGTTGGACCGATTATGTGAGAAATGAAGAAGTGTTAATTAGAGTCAGTGAGGAGAGGAATATCCTACATGAAATAAGAAAACGGAAGGCTAATTGGATTGGTCATGTTTTACGCAGAAACTGCCTTCTAAAAGAAGCTATCGAAGGAAAGATAGATGGGCGGATAGAAGTGACAAGAAGACGAGGAAGAAGACGTAAGAAGATGCTGGATGACCTTGGGGACAGAAGAGGATACTGTCATTTGAACGAGAAAGCTCTAGATCGCATTAAGTGGAGGAATTGTTTTGGAAGAGACTGTGGACCTGTCGTCTTGACAGATTACTGATGATGATGATGAACACGGATTAAAAAACACGGTTGCATGTCCCTCTTTCATTTCAGAGACGCGATATGTAAAATGTTAAATCTTTTAAACATTTCAGAATTACTGAATTTTTTGGATGTTGTCCATCGTCTGGTTTTCTAGAAACTACTAGTAGAAAACACAGCGTTTCGGAAACTGGATCTGTTTCCGCACTCAGGTGAGAGGGGAGACACCTACTCTGTTGGTTCTCTTATAAAGCGCTAACCTCGATAACAGGACGATGGACAAAAGTTCAAGAGCCCAGTAATTCTGAGTATTCTGTACCATCGTCAGAACCCTTTGGGATCCACATTTATCTATTTCTTTTTTCTCCTTTCTCTGCGGCAGATCATATGATTTTGATTTAGTAGATATTTATGCCAAATGTCCATTCTATTTCGATTTGTAGGATAATTTTCAGTAGTCTGTCTCCGCAGTTATTGTTTCATGAAGTAAAATTCTAACACATATCGTATTAGTGAGATAAACTAGGCCTGATACAAAAGACGAGAGTTTTCGTTGACCTTTCCTTTTCCTTGTTGTTCTCTGTGAATGATTCATCGTTGGACAATTTATTGCGAGTACAGTCACTAACGAAGTTGTGATGCAACAAAGAAGGGAAGAAAAAAATTGGTGTAAGGAGAAAGTTGACATTCCTGTTGTGTTTTGTGGTGCGTCATTTGTTTCACATTAAGCCACAGGCCATGGTGTTACGTTCGTGTTTCAGTGCGAAAGAAGTAAGTTCGCGGATTAAGATTTCAATTTTGTTTTTGTATTTATTGTTTAAGAACCCGTCAATCAATTTTAGTGTTATAATTACTACAGCGGTTCGTCATATTTTTGTTTCCTCTATTCTGTTACCGTTTGTCCGAAAAGCCTGGATTTTTAAGGCAAAGCGTTTTATTTATTTTTTCTTTTATCGTATCCTTTAATATGTCAACAGTATATCTCAAGCCATACTTCAGATAAAACAACAAGTTCCTTCCAATTAATTTCAGAGAACTGGGGTTGATAAATTTTCATTCTTCGTTTCGGGGTTGGAGATGAAGTACTTTATAAATATTTAGAGTGCAAACATGTAACTTGGCTTAACCCCAGTAACTGAAGTCACCGACCTGGAACAGCCGCACACTTTCGCTATGGCAACCTGGCGAACGGCTTCTAAAATGCCAGGACAACACTGAGGTAATTTACCCACCACACGACCAGTTTCTTCAAGTTCCTTCGGTAATTTTCCGTCTGGGCTATATGTAATTAAATATCTTGCTGGAAGATGGTTATTAAATTCATCTGCTATTATTCGTCAAAACCATCCATAATGCATCACGCCTAAGCAACGGGATAACCTCAGTATTTTCTTTTAGTTATGCAGTCATTATTCAGCGACAGTATAAAACAAAAAGAAATACTTGGTACATTTTCAAGACTTTTGGCCACTATGCAGACATGAAATGAAGTGACAAGAGGTTGGAGAAAACTGCATAATGAGGAGGTTCATAACTTGTACTCTTCACCAAGTATAATTAGAATGATCAAGTCAAGGAGGATGAGGTGGGCAGGGCATATAGCACGAATGGGGAGAGAAAGAATGCATGTAGGA